TAAGTAATTTGGTTTCCCACACGGATCCGCTTGCCTAAACCATTATCATTATTTTGACCAAAAGTCGCGTGACTGTTGCCATGTACTTTTTTTCAAAATGAGTGGAAAAATGTCCTTGAACAGTGTTGAAAGTCCGCGGTTCGCATGAACTCTGGGCATTGTCACCATTTTCTTTTTCGTTTGGGCCGTACAGAATAATTTAAATTGTTAGGCCCAATGCCTGTTCCGAAAATGTATGTACAGTACATTTAAACGTAGTTGATGGAAATTTCTAGCATCTATAAATGCCAACACAGGGGGTCCCTGACTTTAAGTCTATTGTACTTTTTGAATTGATGATTAAGTTAAATACACTGCTTTCAGAAAGTAAGACGAATCATATTGATACTATATCCCCGAAAATGGACAAAGAAACACGCCGCGCTCATAGATTTATATTTGTCATTGTCCAAAATCGATGAGAATGAATACATCACCCCTAGATAATTCGTAACAGATACCATCTCAATTTCAATCAATGGAATATGAGTAAAACTTAATCCCTGTGATTTTTGGCATTCGATCGATGATAATTCATTTGTAGCAAGGACAAAAGAAAATCTGATATTGTATTTTTTTTTTGCTGGGTAGATATGATCCGCTTGGCTTCTTTCGGATAACGCTGGTAAATCAACCGCCCGAGGGGGAGAAGACAATTTTCAAAATTCCCTCACGTACAGGGGGGACAAACCATTGATTTGTCTGCTAACAAAACCTGTTTTGCAGAGGGATTTTACAGTATTGAATGGGTTTCATGATATGAATAATAGATGTATTGAAAAGAAATGGGGTCATCTGCGGTGATCCCCCCCTGATGTTACCCGTTCTTTTTGCGCGTTCCCAATGGTAACGTTATCCAATAGCGTAGGATACTGGTGGGTATTTTAAACTAGCGTGAAATCAAAATATGTAACACAAAACATTATTAAAGGAATAGATAATCCTGATGTTACCTGATTACGGAAGTGCCTCTAATGAAAGTTGTGGGCATTGATCTTCGCTAGTTTGTCATTTGACTGCAACGGCCAAAACATAGACCATGCACTTCTGGGAGAAATTAGAAGTACATGTATAATACCGCCAGGACACAACTCAATAATTATGCATCATATTTGTCCTTGGATAGGAGTCGGAAGTTCTTTATCTCATCCTCATGGAATCTCTTCACGAGCTTCATTCTCATTTTTATGGTATCGTACGTAAAATAAAGCACAGAGCCAGCCATCTTCGAACTCGTAGCATGATAAATGCCATTTTCGCTGAGATTTTAGAATAAATCCTACATGTTTTGGGCTTTAAGTTGTAAAATTTAGAACCGCACACAAAAATGCTCAAATACATTGTTGTGTTGATGCCTTATAATAGCACAATTCCACGTATTTTCATAATATGTGCTGCATCAAAATCAGTTAAAAATAGAAATAGAAAATGGATAAAATCGTGTAACATCAATGAATCTGCCTTTACGTCAAATAACAACCTGATTTCAGCTTTGAGTGATTTCTTTGTTTCTCTGTTAAATTGTTTTTAATATAATCATGTAGGCTTTCATTTACTTACTGTGTAAGTAAACGAATCTACATGGGAATAATTGATTTTCTTTTTCAAAATCAGAAGATCAGTTAGGGTGGTTATTTTTGTTTTATTAGATAGCAGTTGCGAAAAAGGAAGTCATTTTTAAACGATGAATATGAGTTATAATGCAATTGCCTTTCAAAAGAAACTCCCCCGAAGTAATTTAGAAAAAGATTTTGTGGCTCCAAAGTAATAATTTGTGTTTATTGTGGGATTTGTTAGAATCATCAAAATGAAAAAAAGTGACTCGGTCCAGTTGGAAGTAGAATGCTCTCCACATAGAAATGTTGATATGTGTTTACACACATCTGGCAGGAAAGTTGTTTTTGTAACATGTCAGATATTTCTTGTCATATATGGAAAATTTAAAGGCGATTACAGATGCAAAAGACCAATCCCCTTTATTGAAAATTAATTCTTTCACAGAACCGACCTTCTCGATAACTATACTGGTAGCAATTATGTATTTACTATATATGGATATTACCTTTGCATTCATTTAATTTATACATTTTCTGATCGATTCACACTCATATATATATATATATGTTGATATAATTGTACTTTGGACAGAGGTGTTTATATGCCATACGGATATTTTTGTTTGAAGGTCATTGTTTATCTCTGAAGAAAAGAATGGTCATTCGACTTTGTACTTTAGCCACCAGACGAGGACAATATTTATTTATTTTCCGATTCACCTGTTACTACCATAAGTGTGTAGGAATCCACCCCAATATTGGAGGTCAATTCTCGTTGCTTTAACCTATACTTTTGTTATTCCTTGGAATGATTTGTTTTTTCTTTATAAATATAATTTAGGCCGACCACTCCTTTTATTGTTTTTAGGTTGTTTGCAATAGAGTGATTTTAAAAATAACAAAGTACATTACACTCTATAACAAGGCTGTGTAATTACCAGTCAAGTGAAAATGGATCAGTTTTAGCCCTCGGATTGTATCACGTTGAAAATCATATACAAATCAGTGAAATCCGTATTACTTATGACATGTGGTGTTCCACAGGGAGCTATACTGGGTCCAAACATTTTTCGTTATTATTGTTGTACCTTGGTGGGTTTTTCTTTTTACACCTAAGCATATGTAATTACATTGTGTTTGATATTCATCAAACAATAATTGTGCATAGATTGTCTAATTACTTGGAGTTACGATATAAATAATGTTTTTCTACAAAGTATGATAAACTTGAATGCGCATCCACTCACCGTTTTCTTTAAGCCCTCTCGTCTGTCCCCATTCGTTGACCCACAGTAATATATATTTGTGCATTGAAGTAGATTACAATATTACGTATCATCACTGGGAATTTATACACAGAACCCAATAAATCCAGTGATCCTCTATTCGTTTATCTGAAGGTCAAATCCAAAGCTCGAATCCCTATATCTATTGTCCAGCGATATTCTGCTCTAGTTATTTCATTGGTATCACTATCAAAGAATATCATACACACTCTTCTGTACAGCTAGGTGTAAATATTCGGATTATGACTGCACCTGTGGTATTCTTTTTTGCCCATTTCTGTTACGTTTAAAACATAAAAATGAACATTTCCACGACAACATCACATTGGATACGAGCTTAATCTACCAAGTACATTACTTACCAATGGTAGGGTTGCCGTTTCATATATTTTCCACGTTTCTAATCGTTTGAATCGACTTTAATTTGAATTAAACTTATGTACATTTTTGCTAAGCCTAACAGGGCTTTCACGGAATTCCCTTGGTTTTAGTCGACTGGTAGATAGATGCCCGCAAACAAAATTACATTTTTAAATCATTGAAAATCAAAGAGAAACGGTGTGTGGAATATGTGAGAGAAACAAAGATTGTTAGGGGCTATAATATGAAGTCAATCCGAAATCTACTAGGAATGCATGTTTTTGACAAACAAAAACTGAATGATTTTTTCTTTTCAATGCAACCATAACCTTTTTTTTGGAACTGTTCCGATTATCAAATAATCAATGAAACATCATCAATTCATATCAAACACCACCATCTTAAAAAAAAAAAATTCAGACACGTTAGATCGTACACGTAGGCATACATTGACAGTTAAAATGTATCTAACTCTTTGATGCTATCTATTCACTTTGATTCCAATGCACATATTGATTGTCATTAAATCTATGCAAAGATCAAAACGGAACCAAATACCTGTCTTTTTGTTGTGTAATCTCACCCAAAATGTTGCCGAGTTGCATATTTTGCTGGTGTTTTGTGTTTGTGCATAATTTTGCCATGGTTTATCTTGAATTCAGAGAACCGTAAAGCCAGAAATATGGATCCATTGTGTGCCAGGCATCCATAGTAGTATCGCACGATCTAATATCACATGACGGAAATTAATTCTGTTTTGAGCAGAATTCAGAGTTTGTAAATATTGGTACACCCCCGATTATAATTCATGAAAAAAAGCTATATTCAACCCAAACAAACTGGTGACGACATTTTCCCAATCTGTTTCCTCTCTCTTTATTCATTCCCCAACGTTTCCGGCTACCATGTTTTATCAGTGACCTTAAAACCAAAATATGGAATATTCCCCCTCTATTTATCGTCCATTTTTTCTTCTCTCTCAAACCCCTTTCCCCTCGAGGGCTTTGTTGTATGACTGTCTGACCCAAGCAGAAAAGGGGTCAACCTGAAAACTATCGCTCCCTTCTTCATGTAGCCCTAAATCCAAGCGAATCGCCAGCAAATAAGGTGACAGAGTTCAAAGTTAGGCAGAGACACACTGTAATTATGAATTCCGGTTGGAAAGGGGACCAAAACACAAATGTTCAAGAGTGCGAGAGGGGCCAAGTGACAGAGGAACAAGAGGGGTGAGGACAGAAAGAGGGGGCGAAGTTAGAGGAGGTGGTGAAAGGATAGGGAGAGAGGAGAAGTAAAGGAAGAAGGGGTAGCGAGAGGTAGGGCAAGAAATAGAGGAGAGAGAGAGAGTAAAGGAAGAGAGAGGGAGAGAGAAAGATGGCGGGAAGAATAAGTGAGAAAGAAAAGAAGAACGGGAGAGTGAGAGAGAGAGAGAGGTAGAGAGGGGAAGAGAGAAAGAGAGAAAACGAGAGAGAGGGAAAGTACAGTCAACAGCACCGGACGGTAGTCTGTGTGTGCACACGACAAGTTTAATAGTTGTGTGCGTGTGCGTTTAGGGAGTGTGTTTTCAAGGGCGCCTCTAAGCGAACTACCCCATTGTGTCAAATGAGTGTTTGTTCTCGTGCCGTAAAGTCATGCTGTGTTTGGTCTCTCATGCATTTCTCCTCAACTTGTAATCTTTACGCAGGACTTATTTTTCTTACACCACGATGGCTTGATGTTTGAAATGACTCGATGTTTTACATTTTGTTTCTTCCCTCTCCAGCTAGCCGGTGTCCTTTATGAACAGTAACGACGGCAGACAGCCCGTGATTGTCAGAATGGGGGAAACAGCGGCGGGAACTGTAGCCACGGGTGTAAGCCTGACTTATGCCTCCCTGGCCGGCGGGGGGAACAGCACTCCTGGGTACGATAATCTCACCGAGTTGGATCCTAACTCCACATCAGCGGCAGACCTGCCCCCGTACACACTCGATCTCGGCCAAACCATCGGTCTAGCGTTTGTCTTTGGGATCATCATCCTAACAACTCTTGTTGGAAACATTTTAGTGTGTTTATCGCCTCTTTTGTGTCACAGACTGCGAACAGCGACCTACACTTTTTTGATTTCTCTCGCCGTTGCGGATTTATTGCTTGGAATAACCGTATTGCCCTTTAGTGCTTACAACACTCTGAAGCCCAAGCAATGGATCTTTACACCGATCTACTGTAACATTTATGTGTCGTGTGATGTCATGTTTAGTACGTCTTCCATTCTACATCTTCTTTTGATCAGCTTAGATCGTTATGTAGCCATCACGCGCCCATATGCTTACCAACGCAATATGAACAGGAAGAAAGCGTATGCTTCGCTGGCTGTCGTATGGACCATCTCATTACTTATTTCTTTTTTACCTTTGCATCTTGGCTGGAACACAGAAGACGGTAAGGTCCAAAACTATGAGAACCCCAGAATATGCGGATTAGATAGCAACAGATACTACGCCTTATTCGATGGCATCGTTTTATTTTTTATTCCACTGATTGTGATGTCCCTGGTGTATATTCGCCTGGTGTTCATCGCCAATAGACAAGCGCGTGCAATTCAAAAACTCATGATCAGCAGTCATAATGAGACGAGTGAGGAGCGCGCCAACCGCAGACGATCGGTCGATGAGCACCGCGCGCTCAAAATTATCGCGATAGTGATGGGTGCTTTTGTCGTCTGCTGGGTGCCGTACTTTACCCAGTTTACCTTCAGAGACGTGGGAGAGTGGGTTATTCACCCAGTTCTATTTGAAGTGCTTCTTTGGTTGGGATACCTCAACAGTCTAATAAACCCTGTTGTCTACGCGTGTATGAATCGCGAATTCCGACGCGCTTTCAAGCGCCTACTTTCCTGCATGCGATGGAAACCGCTGGACGATACCATGGACTCGCGATATTACACCACGCAGCACTCCAGGTGCACGGGTGCCGACTCTAAAAATGGAGTCCGATATAGTGCCTCGTCGAATCACCCGACAACAGGGAATGGTTCTAATAACTACACCCTTCAGCTACCCATAAAAAAGAACGGCATCTACATGAAGTTATTCAGGTCTTCCAGCCGAGATAGTAGCACACGCCCCCAGCCCACATGACATATGGAGACTCGTGTGTAGTTTAGCTGGTCATTATTTAGTTTAGCTGGTCATTATTTAGTTTCACAAACCTGCTTTTACGGCTGCTTGACACTACTTTACTTCGTATAGGAATAAGCATGGTAAAATGAAACGTAATATGTGTTGTTTTTGTCAGCAGCGTCTAGTCCTTTGGTGTCACAAACAACACCAGATGCATAATTATCTAATGCTTAAGAGTAACCATGAAATATGTCACGCAATGTCAATTCCGACCTGGTACGACGTTGTGATCAAACGTTGTCCCCAAAAGCAATAGTCATAGTTATAATGACTATGCTATTTTAACATCTTGTCCATCTTTAGATAGAAAACGATGTTCAAAGTCATTGGAGTTCATTGTCCGCATATATGACAGGGATCACTAAACTTATCGCGATGGGGTAAAATTACGTTTTTGAGAAATTGAGATTCGGATACTTTTGTTTTTCATATTGAAAAATAAGAAAATTTGGGCAGCCAATGGAACCTCATATTATATGAATTAGAAATCAAAGCCACTTTGATCTATTCAAACATACAGCACAAACATGATATGTCAAATCTGAAATTAACCTTTTTATGTAATTTCTGAACGGACCAGGAAAAAGGCTGATTTTTTTGTCCATCAATTTGTTTACATTGTAAATCACATACTACATGTACTTTAAATTGTCCGACGAGTGGAAGTAAGAAAATGGCTCCAAAATGAACCCCAACAAAACCTTTCCATTTATCCTTTTGGTTACTTAAGAAACAAATCAGATGAACTGGGAAAATGTTGAGATACTATAAACTGTGCTCTACGTAATATTTGTGTGCAATTGTTATTTGAATTTCAACATATGTTTCATGGATTGATGTTGCCGACAGCGGATGTCCATTTCGAGCTTCCCCCGACGTTTTAAAGTCACTATTATAGTATATTATCAGTAAATGCTTGCAAAGCAAATTGTATTCCAGCGTTAGTGAAATTGATTATTTCAGAAAAGGCCATATGAGCTCCAGAAGCGACGGTCTGTGCGTTGATGAACTGTAGATCATCGTGCTATTACTACTTACTGTCAAAATTATCATTGTTAGTAAATGAAGTCGAGAAAGTCTCGTATATTCAAATTCACGAAAGAGTATTGTTTGAAGTATGCTTCCATTTATAGAGAAGTAGCGTGCGCTTTCCGTAAAATTGCACAAAGTTGTTTATGCCGTGTCCCCTTTTTCAAGTTTTCAAAGTTTTAGTACCTCGGGCTATTTTACAAGTTTGTATTGCATCATTTCTTTCTGTCCGCTCGAAAACAATACACTTTGCTCGATTGAGGTAATGATCTAAATTGAACCCTTTAAACAATTGAAGTAGGATTGAAACGAATATTTTTTGATGTGATTCCTTTATATGCATATATTGTCATGCGAAATATTGTTGACAGACATTGTAACAAATATTGTCGATATGCTAATAACTGTTGGGATGACGTTATTATTATTGTTATTATTTCTTTTTGTATCTGATTATTATTATTAATATTAACGTTATCGTTTATTTAAAGTCAGTTGTATTTGTGGGAACAAACACAATCTTGTCTATCAAAGAATATAATCGGAAACTGGAACTACAAGTTACAAGAAATTTCTGAACTGTTAATTGCAATTTTGAAATTGGTTTACTGTTCTCTAAAATTGTATGTGCAGAAAATGACGCGGAAATTAATCTAGTTGCGTAGTTGCAACATAATACAAAAATGTAAATACCAGATGAAGTTTTCTTCCCATTGCACCGTCTGGGAAGTTAGAACCCCCATCGTCGCTACATATTTTGTACTCTTTCTCCCCTTTCTCCTGGACTCTCTGCCTCTGTCCCCATCATTCTCTCTCTCTCTCTCTCTTCCTCTCCTACCCCTCTTCCCCTATATTTTATGCATATTATGTACTTGAAATTCTACCTCTAAATCCAATCGCTAATGTGTAGTATATTGTGAACTTATAATTATGTTTATTATAATAAAAAAGGAAAGGAGGAAACCATTCAGACGATGCGAATATTTGCTTTAAAAACTTGATCACGTTTCTGAAGATTCTTTGCTATTGAACATGACTGGTGTCAAGGTCAAAGTAGCTTTTTTTTAGGAAGGACACTTTGCAACCTCCGTTAATCCTGTTTTCAACATTATCTCGTTGATTGATTTTCAATCTGACAAGTTCAGTCCCATCTGAACATAAGTTAAGAGAGAGCAAAATCTATGTTTTACAAATACGTGTTTCTGGCTGAATTGGCAGAGTCTGTGTGTGTGTGTGTGGGTGTGTTTGTGTGTTTGCGTATGTAAGTGGTGTTTTGGGGAGGGGGATCTTTCGCCATTTCGCAAACATGGACACAATTTGTAAGGTTGGTGTACGGGCCAAACTAATGTGATAGATTTGATAAGTCCAAATCAATATCCTAGCCTAGACGTTGACATGTTCGGTTTCTATTTACGTCCCGATTGTGTTGCAAGTGGGCGTTCCTGTTCTGTTTACGGTCGCCCAAACATTTTTCTTCCATAACACTATTAGGGTAATGAGATTTTTCTTTCAGAGCTCCTGTAGTAAACAAAAATGTCAAGTACATTCGGAAGGTAACATTTGCATTTTGTCCCAAATTGTCCTTAAGTATGGCCTTGTACGTTTCTCTGTATGAAGCGGTCGTATGTTGGAGGGTTATGAATGCATGTTAAGAAATGTTACTTAATTTCTAGAGAAACACTTCCATATACGCCTCCATAAGGCCTTGCCACTCTCCCTCTCCATTTCAACAAAAGGAGCAACGATAAATGAGATATATATTTTAATACATGATCTGGAAAATGCATACAAGCTGATCAATTAGTAGCCGTACGCCACATAGCCATTCAGGAAATCAAGATCACTCCCGAACGTTGAAAGAATTAAGGGTTGTATATTTTGTTTGAAATATTTTTGTGAAATTACGACAAGCTCGTACAGTATTTCAGCCTCTCAGTTGTGTCCTAGTAGGGCGATGAAGACCTTCAAAAGCACAGAATTAATGATCTGGACACTACCATGATCGCTATCTATTAACATGGTCCGAGACATTCGAGAATAACGATGTGAATCTTGCTCGGCAACTAATTAGTTTTGAGACAAAGCAGACTGACTGCGCAAGGTTTTCTCTGTTCTCATGATCACGTGGCGGGTCACGTGGCCTATCCAGGCACGACCCTGACCTAAGTGATATAGGTACTTCCTCTTCCCACATAGATATGTTGTTCACATTCATACACAACATGTTCACGCATTGTAACATCCCTGTCACACCTGTAGGACGACTCCAGAATTTGACCATGTAGATCAATGTAATCTTGTGCACGGTCTGTTGTCGGTCTGACGTTGGTCTCGCCGGTGTAACATGGGCATTCGAGAGGGAAAGGTTCAGACATTTTTGAAGAAAGGGCAATCACTGAGAAAATAAATGATATTAGGTTGATCACGTTAGTCGTGTTATAGTAGGCTCATGCCAGTGCATCGAGATTTTGTTTTAAAGGGGTAAGGAAGAGAAGGTTTTTGAGATATATAGTAACATCCCTCAAAGTGATAGTTTTAACTCCATGGGCGGAAGTATTGCCTAAAAAAATAATGTGTTAGAGGTTTTCCCCCATCGTGCCCACATTTATTTCATGTTTGTGCAATCATGCTTGTGCAATCATGTGCATCATCAATAGCTGGATTACAATGTTCTTTTTCCGGAGTGGGAGAATTGAGAGGACGGGGACAGGGTCACAAGTATAATTGCCTTTCTTCTGGCTTTTACTGCAACAAATTGCTTCATAATTTAATAATTATAGGTATAGAGATAATTATACTCAACAATTGGATATTTATGCACTCATATAAAAGCCGTCTAAACGAATTACTTCTACAATCAGTTACATGCTCCCCTGATGTTTATTATAGCAAACGCTCTTTTTCGATAAACCTACTTCCCGATTGTATGTTCCACAATAAAAGACTGCGACATCGGTTTGGTTGCATTCAATGCATTCAACATGGAATATTTGCTTTTCATGCATGCACAAATGGTGGTGAAAAGAGAGATGAATGTATTATCATTTTTTGGAAATAGCGGGTTCATTTTACCTGGATGACTGCTTTCTCATGTCACGGATCGATTAGCTTAAAAGGGAAAGATTGAATGATATTAATGGATTCTAGTACGTGACAGAGACAGGGGCAGGTGCAGATGCGGAAAGAAATGGGGGTTGGGTGAGACCGAAATTTTCATCTACAATATGCGAGGCTGTGTAGAGTAGTTGCAAATGTATTCAAATCTTGGAAGCTTTTTCTTGAGGTTCTACAGTTACTATAAAGCACTATTGTCTTAAGCACAAAACGCCAGACTATGTACTTAATCATGGTAGTAGGTATATGACTTAATCGTGGTAATGTTAAGTGTTGCTCCGTAGGGAAAGTCTCCAGCATAAAAAGTGGCGGGTCACATACCACCAATACAGTCAAGGATAACGAAAAAAAACACATTACTACTCAAAATGATGGAAGGCTTCTCCAGCCAATAGTTTGGAGTGGATTCACCTAAAAGAATTGATCATTTTTATGACTCCTTAAAAGTAGATTTCCACTTCTCTGCATATGGTCTGTGTCGAAAAGTCATTATATATTTAGTCTTGCTCACCGATATATGCTAATAAGCCTTCATCACAATTTTTGTCTTCTTCATATTTTAGTGCATTTTCCACAACCAGTCCATTGAACAAATCATCATGGCCTCCATCGATATGTAAAACGCTTTCATGCAATTTGAATACATTTGTTGAATGATATCCCTGTATGATAGTGCTTCGCTGTAGCGATAAATTGGAGTGAAATAATTCTGTTGCGACTGAATTGAAACCAGTACTGATTATTATGTGTGGTTGTAGACTGATTGTGCAGTTGATTTTGAGAGACAATATGCCATCCGCACGTTTTGAAGGGTACCCTCAAAATGTTTGAAAATAAATGAATGGAATTAACCGCAAATTTGTTATAGCAAGAGGCTTGGCCCATAAGTCCACAGACATACCAAAGTGAAGAATTGATCAGGTTACGGTAGAGCATGTACTAGACTGTATGAACTGTGATATTTGGAGTTAGAACCCAGCGGCAACACAATGTTCTATTTTCGATGTTTTAGAAAACATACATCGGCTTTTTTAGGAAACATGTGATTTACTCTGGGTTGGCTTCATTTACTTATTTCCGTTTTAGAAGATTCCTCCAAAC